GGTCTTCACCATGGGCTGCAGGGAATCTATGCTCCAGCACCTGGAGCTCCTCCTCCCCTCCTTCTTCACTGACCTTGGTGTCTGCAGAGTTGTTTCTCTCACATATTGTCATTCCTCTCTCCCAGCTGCTGTTGTGCAGCAGTTTTTCTCCCTTCTTAAATATGTTATCACAGAGGCTCTACCACCGTCGCTGATTGGCTTCACTTTGGCCAGCAGCGGGTCTGTCTTGGAGCTGTCTAGCACTGTCTCTATTGGACATCTTCTCACAGAAGCCACCCCTGTAGCCTCCCCTGCTACCAAAACATTGCCACGCAATCCTAATACAATGCCTTTCTTGTCTTGAGAGTTAAGCCCCATTATTTAAGAAGTGTTATATTTAAAAAGTACTGAGTATTTTATATGTATAATTCCAATGTTAAAGTGCACATAAATGGAACCTTGGAAATATCTCTTCTTGATTTCTTATCATTTATATGTTTCTTCTCCACACTATGGAGGATCCAACTTATGCATGCCCTGAGAATCAAAGTGAAACAAAATGATAATGACTCATGGTAAGGTGTTTTGGGGGAAAGGATGGCTAGAAAAGAAAGGACTGGACACAGTTTAATGCCCCACATATCTACATTACTTCATTGTACCTTTTTCAAGAGCAAGCTTTCTTCTTCTAGTTTTGACTGGATTATATACAGTCCACCTTCTGGCTAGAATCAGCATGATCAGACTACTCCTACCCAGGGTGGATTTACATTTGGGCCCTGAATTAACCAACCTTTGATTACAGAGATCATAATTTTTGATTCACTAGGGAGAACTGTTTGTAGTTAAGAGTTTTTTGTCTTTAATACATGAATTACCTGCATTTCTAATAGCTGAGCACATATTCCAGGCTTGTAACAGAGCCTTGCCTCCGTTTTGCTGCCTTCGTTAATTAATTGTGTAGGAGCTTAATGTCTTTGAAAAAGAATTAAAGATTTCAAACATGTTTAAAATGAACTTTTAATATCCTGTCTGATATTAATGCATGCATGCATTTCAAGTGTAATATGAGCAATTTAATTTCTGACATAAATACAGCTGAAAAACAATGCATCTCTATGAATTTCCTGCCACAGGCCAGAATTCAGGAGCTCCAATTACTAGCCTTCTCAGGTGTCTTGGCTTCCTTGATGCCTCCCAAGCTTTATGATTTGAAATGTTAGCCAAATGTAACTGAAACATGAGGGAAACTGAGAAGGAAATAAGGAGACTATTTGGTCCCTACAACAATACTTAGTATGATAACTGTAAAAAAGAAAGGGTGTAGTTTGGGTTTTATTAAAAAAATAAAATAAAATAAATAAAGTATGCTTTATTTTGGTGTTAGGGGAAATGGTGTTTTGGGGGATTTTGGTTTGGTTTTTTTTTGGGGGGGTGTTGTTTTTTTTTAAATCCAAATAACTTTCGTTAAAACATTTATGCTGTTCACACTTGTTAATGGTCTTAAGGTATGCAACTGTGTTTCCTTCCTTAGACTGATCTTGGAAACTATGAAAAAAATAATACTGCTCAGCAATGCGATACTTGAATCTCAGCAGGTAAATGTCAGTTGTAGCTTTTGTTGCAGTTGTGGAGGTCTGCCAACCTCAATACAGGCAGGGGCACAGTTTGAAAGTAACAGGAATGCGCAAGTCATTTGAAGCTAAATATATGGCCCAAAGGGTGTGGTTTAAAATTATTGAAATGTTACTTAAAGTGAATATGTAAGAAAGTCTGCTTCTAGAGCTGCCCTTAACTGCTTTTGTGAATTGAATTAGCATCTATCAATATTTATTGGAGACAAGAGTCTAGGAAATACTTTTTTTATTATTTCAGCAAGCATGTGAGATGGAACAGAAATTGAACAACATTAAAAGGAAAAGACTGTGTGTTAGTTATATGACTGTTTTAGATTTGAATATACAGTTCCTATTGTAAAGTGCTTCTTGTAGCAATATTAATTTATATCTGAAGTAACTATGAAACTCAATACAGTTAAAAAACTTCTGAAAAGAGTATGAAGTACTGTAAAAATGAGCTGGTGTGCTGTCTACATGAGTATGAGACTGACCTGTTAGAACAAGAGATGCAAGAAGATACTCAAAAGGAATGTGGTGACGTTTTATTATTTGGTGTAAGCTCCTGTCCTGGTTTGAGCAAACCATGACTAATTTCTCTTCCAATACTTGGGAAGACTGTACTTTTAGAAGACTCTAGTGTCTGAATTGGTGAAAATATTTTCTTTGTAGCCAGCTATGGTGTGTGGGTTTCAAGGTCTCAGTGTTTCCAAGCTTGCCAGGTGCAGGGATGAGGAGGAGCAAGACCCAGGCACTTGACCCAAGCCAGCCAACAGGATTATTTCATATCACAAACGTCACATTCACTATAAATTAGAAAGTTTGCTGAGAAGTTCTCTCTCTCCCTTGATGGCTGCCATTCTGAGAACTTCTTGCCCCGGTGCCAGACTCCTGAGGCCTTCTCTTCCTCCCGAAGCCATAGCGCTCGCAGTGTCCGATATTTGCTGTCCACTGCTGGGGGTGCAAAGCTTCCTACTGATATAATTGGCTGAGTATAATTTTGCATATTCTGTATTGGTGTCGGGACCAATATTGGTTCTTTAGTGCTGTTATTGTTAATTATTTAATCTTAGTCTATTAAATCTGTTCATATTTCAGCTCCTGTGTTTCCTTGTTTTTTCCTGATTCCCCTTTCCTAGGTGGGGAGGGGACATTGGGTGATAGAATGATTGTCTAAACAACAATAAATTGTTATGGGTTTCTCAAACCATAACAGCTCCCCAGCAAATTACACCTCATTTAGTAATTTAAATCAGTCCTACAACACCTAAAAGATTTTTTTTTTTGTCAGATTGCACCTTTGTGAAATGTTTGTCGAATGGAGATGGGGATTTATTTACAAAGAACTTGTGTAATAATATATATATTGGTATTCATTATGCTTATTAGAATGGGACAAATTTAGGTTTGAAGTCACTCTTCAGAATTTAACGTAAATATCTTTTTTGGATACTCCTACTGCCATATGTCCTGGTTTGCCAACAGTTTTAACAACAGTTAATTGTTTTGTGCATAGGAAGTCCCTAAATGGTTTTATTCAGTCTGTTTTTTAGCCTGGTTTCCTATAAAAACTAGTAATATACACTGGCGTTGTCCATGTGTCCCTTATATGACTTTGGAACTTGATTTTAATCAAATTTTAAAAATGGAAAAAGGTCTTAAACATCTCTGAGTGGTTGTGACAACCTGTGGTGGGTTGACCCTGGCCAGATGCCAGGTGCCCACCAAAGCTGCTCTATCTCTCCTCTTCTCAGCTGGACAGGGGGGAGAAAAAGATGATAAAAGGGTTAGGGGGTAAGATAAGGACAGGGAGATCACTTGTGAATTACTGCCACATGCAAATCAGACTTGACTTGGGGAAATAAATTAAATTAATTTCCAATCAAATGAGAGTAGGTTAATGAGAAATAAAAACAAATCCTAAAACACCTTTCCCCCACCCCTCTCTTCTTCCTGGGCTCAACTTCACTCCTGATGTGCACTACCTCCTCCCCGTGAGCAATAGAGAATGGGGGGTTGTGGTCAGTTCACCGCATCTCTACTGCTCCTTCCTTCTCACTCTCTTCCCCTGCTCTAGCATGGGATCTCTCCCCCGGGGAGATAGTCCTCCACAAACTTCTCCAACATGGGTCCTTCCCACAGGCTGCAGTTTTTCACAAACTGCTCCAGCATGGGTCCTTTCCATGGGGTGCAGTCCTTCAGGAATGGACTGCTCCAGCCTGGGTTCCCCACAGGGTCACAAGTCCTGCCAGAAGACCCATTCCAGCACAGGCTCCTCTCCACAGGGTCACAGCTTTCTTCGGGCAGGATGAGGGTTAGAGCAGCTTGGTGGGAACCTGGTGTCTAGCCAAGGTCAACCCAACACAGTAATATGTTAAATAAAAACATTGGCGCTCTTTATAAGTGAGTGTCAGCTTTTAAAAGGTGGATTGGCCGTGTTTTGTTCGAATTCAAATAAAACGTAGAGCTACTTGAAGTGTTTTTTTACTTTTAATGCATTGCCCCTGTATTTTGTTGTATTTGTATTTTGGCATTGCCTCCAACAGCCCTTCCTCCGGGCCCCGCCCTTAGTGGGCGTGGCATGGTGCTGCCCCTCAGGCGCAGGCGGTGGGCGCGCGGCGCCGTG